ACTTTCAGTTCAATTCCTAGAGAAGAACAGCCATAAGAGTAGTCTTTGATAACTTCCTTAAAATCGGTCATCTAAGCAATCGTAATTGAATTTTTTCACTTAAACTATCGTAATGGAAATAAGTTCATACATTTATAAAAATAAAAAATCTGATTTCATTCTATTCTTCATGTGCTGAGAAAATTAAGAAACAAACTTTCCAGGGTTTGTGTGAATTTCAGAGGTATGTTCCCATTTTTATGTATGGTAAACTGAGGCAGTGGTCTGCAAACATAATGTAATAATGTAGACTTTTTATCATTAAGAACTGTCGTAAGACCTTTTTTTAAAAATCCAATTTTTATATTATTATTTCAATCTTCTTCCATGACTATCAGTCCCAGAATATACTATTATGCTGGGAATATTTCATTTATTTTTTATTTATAGCCCAACTTTGACAGGAAAATGTTCTTTTAATTGAAAAACTGCAATGTGCCATTGGTTTGCATTTTCCCAACATTTTTTCTTTCCTGTACCTGCTTGAAAGCAGAGCCAGTTCATTGTCACAGCAGAATAATTTTCATTTTCCAATTCAGACCTCCCCGACAAACAGAGAATGTAAAATTTATTTTACAGCCAGCAGTTCTCAGATGTTTTATATGAAGGGTACATTTCTAGGACAAGTGTTCAGATCTCTGGGCTCCTCTTGGGCTCCTCTTCAAATCATGTGATGCTATCCCCAGCCATTAAAAAAGGGATAAGCCGCAATATCAGAACCATATTTTCAATTCCTTTGGAAACAGTAGATGATACCTGTATGATATTTAAAGATTTGAATTCGAATGTCCATGTGATATGTAAAAACCCATAAAATGGGTTCAAACATTTTGACGTTTCTACCAAGTAATGCTGCATGCCTTTTGGACATCTTTTGTTTTCTGTTGGCCACAAATGTGGAAGCATCCACCAGAGGCCTGAGAGAACACTGCAGTCTAACTTGGTGCCATTGTTCCTTTGTTCTTTGTTTTTTTTAAAATTTTGCTTTTATAAGGAACTTGATTCCAAGAGGTTCATATTCCCCTGTAAAGTTCAGTAAAAAACCCTTTAAAAGGGGTGTGTGTGTGGGGGGGGGGGTTGGATCTGGGAGCCAATAGGGTTCCAGAAAAGCATGGGGTAATTTACTCAATCTCCAATTTAGCTCACACTAAAATTCCCTGGAGGGCTTTGTTTCACTTTCCCTCTCCTCTCCTCTCCTCTCCTCTCCTCTCCTCTCCTCTCCTCTCCTCTCCTCTCCTCCTCTCCTCTCTTCCTTCCCTTGTTTCCTTTTCCTTTATTTATTTAATTAACAAATAATAATTGTATATATTTATGAGGTACAAAGTGATTTTGGGGGGAGATACTAGGGATTGAACTCACAGAGGCTTAACCACTGAGCCACATCCCCTGCCCCTTTTTAAACATTTTATTTAGAGACAGAGTCTCACTAAGCTGCTGAGGCTGGCTCTGAATGTTCACGATCCTCCTGCCTCAGCCCCCCAAGCTGCTGGAATTACGGGCATGCGCCACTGCACCCAGCTATAAAGTGATATTTTGATCTCTGGGTACAGAGTTGAAAGATTCAGTCAAGCTAATTAACATACCTATGACCTCAGCAATGTCATTGGGGGGGGGGCTGAGAATGTTAAAAATCTGTTTTTTAAGCAGTCTGGAAACATGCCTTATTTTTAACTGTCGACCCCAGGCAGAGCTTAGGTCACTGAAACCCATTCCCCCCTCCTAAGGAGACAGACTGGTCCTCTCTGAGCAAAAGCTTCCTTCCCCTCCCTGCCTGGCCTCTGGTAATCACCTTTCTGCTCTGTCTCTGTGAGACGGACTGTTTTAGATTCCAGGTACAAGCAGGATCCTACAGTATTGGTCTCTCCAAGCTGGGCGTATTTCACTACCAAGGCCTTGGACTCACCCCCAGATTCTGCTTTAATTAGTGGGAACAGCCTGGCATGGAAGTTTTTCACAGCTCCCCAGGTGATTCTGATGTGTGCCCAGGTGGAGATAATGACCATGGGTTTAATGTGAGTACTAGCTGGAGGGTGTGGAATGAATCATCCACTCTATAAGCCTTATTCCTCCTGTAGGTAAACGTGGGTGGACACCAGTATCCCACAGAGTGATCATAAGGATCAAATAAAATTACGGATATAACATTTTGTTGAAATATACAAAGGCCTCTATAAATGTGCAGCCTCAGAGATATATTCATTCTATCTTGCTCCAAAGAAATACTTCAACAATCTATTTTGTGCAAAAGGTCATACTTCAGTCATCTTTATGAAAACAAATATTTCATCAATTGTTGAGATGATTATTCATTACCCAGGTGAATTTTAGAAATCCAGTGACTATTTTGTGTGATATACATAGATTTTATACTAACAGAACAAACACTATTGTTAAAATGTGTATATGTATGTATATATACACACACTTAATTTTATATGTCCTCCAAAATAGTTTAAAAAATCAGTTCCCCCAAATGGGATAGGTAGATTGGCTATATGATTTCATCCCTGCATAAATTGGATGTAGTTTTTTTTGACTACATTTTCTTTAATATAGAAAATGAAACTCAATGAATGTGTAGAAAATCTGCAAAAAAAAGAGTAAAATTGTTCAAATAAAGGCCAAGAAGGATAAGGATATAAAGGATACAAAAGGATAAGGGTCAGAAAGATAAGGATCAATGCCACCGACAACATCTTGAGACTCCAATGTGGGTGGTGTCTACAAGAGTAATGAGTGGGAGATGGAATCCAAGGAGAGTGGGGTGGAACATGAGCAGGGAGTACAGATAGGAACTGCAGATAGATAATTGCAGATAGAGGAAAGCACAAATAGAGGGGATTTGAGGTGAAGGGAGAAACTTCCCCGTAAGGTCCTGGAGTTACCACAGTGGGCTTAGGTACTGGGAGACAGATCTCCAGGGGACGGGCTAAGGCTAGGGAGGAGAGGGGCACCTTACAGGTGAGATCCTCCAGGGGGTGATGGGAAGCTACCCCAAAGGAACAGTGTTTGATAGAAATGGGGTGGTCCATTGGGAGCAAGAGGGGAACAGAGGTGGAGATGGCACTGATTCTATGTCTGAGGAGGGGAGACTTCCTGCTTTACCAGGGAAGTGAGAAGCAAGATCACCAGCTCAGAGTGTTAGGGCCTGGACTCTTCAGGACAGAGCAGGTAGGAGGCAGCGTCCTGGACTGTGGGAAGCAGACGTACAGAAGGGGAGTTGGGACTGCTCCCGGGTGATGAGTGTCGATTTGTGAGTGGTGGGCGTGAAGCCAGCCCTTGGTGGACGTGTAGGAGCAGGTTCAGGGAAGGTGGATGCTTGGGTTTAAACAGCATGGAGGGAGGTGTTGTCTCTAAGGGTTTCGTTTCAAGAAACATTGAATGAATAATCACTAGTGGGGTTTGGGTGGGAGATTGTGTAGAATGCCATTTATTGTATTTTGGAGGTTGAGTGTCCCCCAAAGGCCCATCTGTTAAAGGCTTGGTCTCCAGGGTGGTGCTCTTGGGGGTGGGGGAAACTTGGAGAAGCTGGGCTTAGGGGGAGGTCCTTGGGTCATTGGGGTGAGCCTCCAGGAGGGATTGTGGAACCCACCTGTTTGCTCCTCTACCCCTCTCTCTGCTTCCTGGCTTGAGGTTTGACCTCTCACTCTAACACATGCTCCCATGATGACGTGCCCCTTTCTTCAGAGGTCCCCATCAATGGGACCATCTTATCTTGAGCTTGAACCTCCAAAACCCTGAGCCCAAATAAACCTCTTTTTACTTTATAAGTAGCCTGAGTCATTAGGCATCTTGTCATAGTGACTAACAGGCAATTATAGAACCTCTTCTTTCAAATGTCTCTCTTAAATCAGGGCATGACTTCTGCTGTCCTTCTTTAGACAAGAGGAGATTTGGGGTGAAACCTACTGGGAAGCTTCCAACAGGCAGTGATCTCTGAGGAGCTTTAAATCATTAAAATATACCAGAAATACGGGGCCAGCTAGCTTTGATCTTCACACCCCACCCTTCCTGCATCTCCTAGATCTGGCAGAATAAGTCGAATGGGGGCCGTCCAAAAGGTAAGTCCACCAGACCCTGCAAACAGGGTTGCATTGGAAAACTGATCTTTGCTGATAGAACTGAGGACCTTCAGATGGACTCACCCCTCAGTTCAATGAAGTGACCCTACAGAACAGAGACGGAAGAGCACCGAGGAGGAGGCCACGGGAAGATGGAGGCAGGGGCAGGAGCCATGCAGCCATCAGTTACAGAGCCACCAGAAGCTAGCCGAGGCGAGGAAGGCGTCTTTCCCAGAGGGCGCTGCAGGACACGGCCTGGCTGACTCCTTGGCTTTGGGTTTCTGGCTTCCAGAACTGTGAGAAAATAAATTTCCGTTTTTCTAAGCCACCAAGTTCATGGCAAGTTGTTATGAAAGCCGAGGAAACGAATCTAACTGTTGAAATGTAAATAGCTCTTGCTCCCAATAAAATGAACCGTGTCCTCGAGTACACAGAAAAAATAATAAAAATAATAAATCTTCCCAGTGCTGACCCGGGTCGGTTGAGTATATCCATGGCATGCATGTGGCCACTGAGAGGGATAGATTCCCATCTTTGACCACTTGGTGTGGGTTGCCTGACGACATCAGCAGGGCCATCTGAGATTCTGAAAGGGAACAGTTCATGGCAGAGAGCTATTTTCCAAAAAGAAAGTGACTCATGTTCTTATCTGAAGTTAAAAAGTACTGATATTCCACCGAGCACTTTGAGAAAACTGAAAAAGAAAGCTTAAGACAGAATGATCATAAAAGAGAAGATAATGTTGTGTTGATTTTTTTTTTTTTTTACATTAGTGGAAGTAAATGAGCAAGTACTTTTGTTTCTCAAGTTTTGCGAATATTCTTTGTGCAGAAGCTGATTCTAGTCTTAGTTTTAAGTAGAAATTACAATAGCCTAACATTTGTCTTTTTGCTCTTTCAGATAATTAATGTCAAAATATGATAACCAAAAATGGATTGGATCTGAGTAGTGCCCTTTTCCATGTGGAAGTGGGAAGCTGGGATTTCTCAGCTGCTGCTGAAATTAATCATGAGGATCCTGCTCTGCTGCCTGGCACCTGAACCCCGCAAACCGATGACATCATGCCATGAGAGCAGGAGGCCCAGTATATCACCGCGTTCCCTCGCTGGATGCCAGTATGCAGGGAGGAACACAAGATGGCCCATGGGGGCCAAAGCACCAGTTTCTCTGATGACAATAGCATTGGAGAATACGACTTGAATCTGAATGCAAATGGGGTGTCCAGTCCTGCCTAGAATTTGAGATAACTAGTCCCACTGAAGAGCTGAGCATGACTGGAATCAAGCTCTGCTCATCTAAGGTGGAGGAACAGAAACATTTAAGAGCACCTGTGGTAGTCAGAGCAGCTGCACACCACAGTGAGATGCCAGAGTGCTCGTCACTCAACATAGGCAGAATTGGGAGTGGGTGGCTCTTTTTAATGGTAGTAGAGAGTACAGTCATCCCTGGGTGTCTGCAGGAGATTGGTAATAGAACCTCCCAATGCTCAAGTTCCCCGTATAAAATGGTATGGTGTTTGCCTATAACTCACACACATATTCCTATGTGCTTTAACATATCTACAGATTACCAAATGATACCCAAGGGAATGTAAATGCTATGGAAATAGTCATTCTAGTATTTTAAGGATTAGTCACAAGAAAAACTATCTGTACAGTTGCAATTTTTTCCCCTAAATGTTTTCTATCCTGTTTGTTGAATCTGTGAATTGGAAACCCAGATAGGAAAGGCCAACTGTATACACCTGCCCCCACTCCCAGTTTCAAGCCCATTGCCCTTACTCACAGGTGAAAGACAGGGCTGGGGCTCAAAACTCGTGAACGTGAAGTAGAGGTGGGAAAACACCCCTTTTATTTTCAAGTTTCCAATAATTGCTACTTCTCTGATTCAATATATTATAGGGAAATTGCTCGTGGGAAAATAATAAATTTGTCTTATGGCTTAATCAACTTAACATGACTAAAGTGTATTGACAATCATTGATATCAAACAGGCATTTGGATTCTCTGTGGGAATTGTCAGTTGATAACATTCCAGTTATAAAATTGAATATGTCAGAAAATCAAAACATTTCCCAAGTAAAACAAAACAAAATAATATAACAGATCTATTGGATCCTTAGTGGAGTAACTAATGCTCTCTAGTTAGGTGACAAGCTGCGAAATGATAAGCAATTCCACATAAGCGAGCGTGTTAATTCTGTGCAAATAATAAGTCTCTCTTTTAAAATCAGTGTAAGAGATCGGCAGTCCCATTAATCATTGGAATCGGCTTCTGAACACTGAGTATTGGCCTGTCCCTGCCTGTTCTGAGATGAGGCAAGGCTATTTTAGGGAGTTAGCAGGAATGGGAAGGAAAGGAAAATGTGGTCTTGTGTTTATATTCCTGTGAGACTATAGTTAAAGCACCATCTTCATCCCAGCCCCCACTGTGTTTTAGGGGATCAAAATGGTAATGAAAAGAGTCATTGTGATTGGGCAGAGAGGGTTACCATTCTCTCCCATCCACTCCCATAGCTGCTGTGACACATTCTTCAGTCTTTCTCTGCAGATGTTAATGCTAGTTACATTATTAAATTCTGTTGACATAAATGAAATTTTAAAATAAATTCCCAGGTAGTCATTTACTGAATTTAAGAAAATCATTCTAAAACTGAAAAACCTCTAGGTGATTCTTTCTGTATGAAGACTAGACCTCAGACAGTTAGTTTGCAGGAATGAGAGGACATCAGACCTGGGAAAGGGTCGTTTTTGTTGTAAGGTCCATCTTGAGGTTTCTTCTTCTTTTGTTGTTCCTGTTAGTTTTCTTGCCTTCGTCAGGGCAAGTATAAGTGGGAAATCTCCCTTACGTTCCCTGAGTCAACAGCAGCCCTTCCTACTGCTTCAGATTCATCACCACACCTATTAGTCTATTGAACCTTCATCATCAACCACACAAATAAGGTACTATTCTGATTAAATTCTGCAGAGGAGAAAATGAGGGGCGTAATGATTGACATTCAGACCACCTCACCCAGGTCCCTGCTCCCACCTCTCAGGCTCTCCTTCCACTCTCTCCTGCCTCCCCAAAGGCCATTTCGTTCATGAGGATTCTCAACAACCTCTTCCCTGGAGTCCTCTTCCCATAAAGTTCGTTGATAATTCTCAGAAAGGTAAAATGACTCATTAAAATTTGCACAGTGAGTGGGGCTGAACTCAGAGTCTGATCCAGATCTTATTATCTTTAATGACATCACACTACTGGATATAGCTGAAGTTTTCAACTTAGGAGAAATTGGCCCTGAAACAACATAGCTGGCACTATTTCACTTCTTTCAGAAATAAATTCCAGATGGATTTAAGAATTAAATCTTGCAAATGAAACCATAAAAGTACTGGAAGGAAATTTTGGTGAATATTTATGTAATCTTGGGGTGATAAAGGCCATTCTAAAAATGGCCCTAAAATAGGAAAGATGAATACATTAGATTTCATAAAAATATGCGAAAACACTATAAATAAAAAGGAAAGGCAACCAACTCAGTGCAGGAAAGTGATCCTCTCTTTTTATTGATTTATTCATTCCCCAAAATGTTGGCATTGGGGTAAAATGGAAGTAAAAAAGACAACGTCCCTGTCTTCACGGAGCTTGTGATCTAGAGGAGGGTTCCACATGGGCTGACCCTTGTGCAATCCTAAGGAGCCAGGGGCATGGCTTTGTAAGAGCAGACGTCACATGTGCCTAGTGCAGGTTGGATGCCAGGAAACCTGCAGAATAATGCCTGGGCAGGGATCAGAGGCGGGAGAAGGCAGCAAGGCAAGCAGCCCAAGCAGAGAGAACGGCATCCCACTTGAGGCAAGAGTGTGGTCCACTTGAAGAACAAATAGAGGGCCAGTGTGACCCAAAGCCAAAGCACAAGGTGCTGAGAGTCTGGGAGGAGGTGGAGAGTTCAGTGCTATTCATTAATATGGGGACCCGGGAAGATGAGCATGTTTGGACAGAGGGAAGATCAAGAATTTGATCCTGGACACGAGATATCCCTCAGTAGCCCAAGGGGAGATGTCAAAGCAGCATTTGCATATAAAAGTCCAGAGTATAAAAAGGAGGACTTGTCTGAAAATATAACTCAGGAGTTCATGGGTTCATATACACAATGGAACCATGGTCATGGATCCTGTCATGCAAGGAGAAAAGATAGAGGGAGAAGAGGAGAATGTCTACTGCTGAGCCTCAAAGAAGGCCAGGATTTAATGGTCAAGTAGAAGATGAGCCTTTAAAGGCCCCCGAGAAGGGGGAGCCAGTAGGAAAACCCAAGGAAGTAAGGTGTCCCACTTCACTCTGTGCTGTGATAACGGAATAGCAGAGATTGGGTGGTTCCTAAACAACAGAAATTTATTTGGCTCACAATTCCAGAACCTGGGAAGTTTGAGATTTTGTGTCCTTCCATGGCAGGAGGCAAAATACAGCAGACACACAGGACCGAGGTGGGAGGAAGCCAGACTCATCCTCTTCTCAGGATCCTACTTCAGCAATGACCTACCCATCGCATGGTGATGGCACTGATGAGTTTGTAAGGGCAGCCCCTCATGGCCTAATTGCTTCTTAGAGGCCCACCTCTCTATACCGTCGCATCGGGAATAAGCTTCCACACGTGAACTTCCAGGGGCCACTGTAACCTGGTTTGAATAAGAACGCAGTGCCAAATGATCTTTAAAGGTCAAATAAAATAAGGGCTGGAAAAAAAGTCTAAAATGCCCTCTACATTTAGAAGCATAAGAGTCACTCACGGCTTTAATAACGTATTCCTGGTGGAATAATGGGGCTGGAAACCCTACTGGAATAGGTTGAGGCAGGTGTGGGTGGACAAGAAGGAAACTGAGATCGCAAGGATAGAAAAGTCTGAGAAATTTGTGAATGGGAGAGTGAGTGAGGGTAGCAGACAGAGAGGTGGGACGGAGGGAAGAGTTTTCTTTGATTTAGTATTTTAGACGGGGAGACGGTGGATACAGTGTATGACTAAAGTAGCATGAATATGGAAATAGTAGAATGAATCTGAGCATTTGTAACTTTTCATAAACGTGGACTTAATTTTTTTTAGGTCTCATACCAATAGTAGAAACAAGCTCAGTTAACCCAGAACATCCCTTCTTTCCCCAAGGCAGAATGGGTTCCGGGTGAGCCACATGTTATCGGCCACACTTCCATGATCCCTGGCCAGCAGAGGCTCTGATCCCCTGTTTGCCTGACACACTCCACAAACTATTTCTCTGGGTCCAAGGTCTCCCAAAAGAACTGGGTTCCTTGCTGTGAAGCCCCATAAACTCTCTTCTCGTGCCTTATTCTCATTCCCTTCTTCCCTTGTATCAGGGAAGCTTTTCCTAGTCGGGGGTGGGGGGTAGTGAAGAAGGAAAACCTTTCTCAGTCTCCTCTGCTTCTCCAACATTCTTCTTGGTTCCGCTATGACCTTGTGGATCACACACTAGGAAGAATTAAAGGCGTTCTGTCTTTTACCCCTCATTATCCATCCTCTGCAGTTACAGTTCATCCAGGTGGTTAAAGATGCCCATTCTCTGCTTCCCAAGCATGTGACTGGTGACCCCCTCCAAGCCTTCTTCCATATTTATCAAGACTGTAAATTCTTGGGAAGCAGAGAATGGGCATTTTGAGAAGTGCTCCGCCTCCAGTGCTTAGAAGAGTGTGGCGATAATAGCAAGCTCTCCACGACCATTTACTGAAATAAAAATAAATAAATAAACAAAAATAAGGGAAGGGAGAAAATGAGTGAGGAGAAAAGGAAAGGAGGAAGGAAGGGAGGAAGGGAGGAACTGGTTTGTGGAGAAAGGCTCTGTCTACCTCATTTAGTGCACGTCGATGCCAGTGTCAGCAAAATCCCTGCTTTGTAATCCTGCGCGAACTGATGTGTCACCTAGAGACAGGAGCTTTATATGTACCCTGCCCACGGTCCCAGGAGAACCCAGAGATCCCTTCCCTGTGCTCTCCAGGTGGGCTCTATCTCTTCATGTGCTCCCCAGGTGGGCTCTGTCTCCCCAGGTGGGTTGGCCCTTTCTTCAATCCAGCCTCTTATTTTGTGCAGGAACCTATTAACATTTTTGGTACTAAGCTCTGACACTTCTCTAATTTCTGGTGCTTCATTCCTTGGATCAGCCCGGTTGGGGATAGGGAGGAGAGGTTTCTCAGTATGTCGTTTCCATCTTGCACCAGATTTAGTATAATTGCAGCAAAAACATTCTCCTGTGACACTGAAAAGGGAAGCCACCTATGGGTAAGGCACAGTCAGTGGCCTCTTGGGGAGGCTGAGGCCCTTTTGCTTTAATTCTAGATTATTGCATCAGAGCCAGAGACAGTTGGCCTGGACATGGATGCCCGTAGTGTTTCCACTAATGAATATTTGGGTCTTTCTTTCTCCACTTCCAGAAAATCGCTTCAAGGCAGAATAGGAGGAAAGAAAGAGCAGCAGGTGAGACCAGTTACTAGAAGGGAGAGTTCACCCTGGTCTAACTCTGTCCGGGATGACTTGGCTGTCAGAAATGCTAAGTTCTCAGTGTCTGACAGAAACACGAGGTCCTCCAGGTGAGAGGAGCATGTGACTGGTGACCCCCTCCAAGCCATCTGTCCTGCACAGCTCTGCTAGGAGAAAAGATCTTGAAAATCAGGCCACCTCTCCACAGCTCCGGGCCCCATCCCCCAGTCATTGGCCACATCTCAAGACAATTTTGATTGTCATGACTCTGGCAGGGGTTAGATGGCTATAGGCATCTAACAGGTCAAAGACAGGGACACTGTGAACATCTCCCAAGCACAGGACTGTCACCCCTATGATGAGGACCGCCGTGGCCCAAGTTTCACCAGTGCCCAGGTTTAGAACTCCTCGTCTAGAAATGCAAACATTCCTTTGAACAGTCTGTTAGGTGCACACACTCGCGAGCGAGCGCGCACACGCGCGCATACACACACACACA